TTTCATTTATATGTTAATTTATTTTATATATTTTTGTTCGTTTAATTAAATGAAAGTCAAACAGAGTTAATAGTTTTGTAATTTGTTTGGTAAATGTTAAGTCATTATATATTTATTAAAAAAACACTTTAAAACTAATCATCCTCTTCAATTTGAAAATACACCTCAAATACCACCTCTACAAGACCATGAATTTTTAACAACAATCTATAGAGACCCTCTGCCATATGCGATGGCAAACTATCATTTGATATAGTACAATTTTTAATCTCTACATAACGTTTAGTAAGTGGCGCCACAAATTCCTCCTCCAAAAATGGCATATTTGTAGCACACTCCTGTATATCATTCATTAAATAGGTCTTATAAAATGTATTCACTGTCGCTGTCAAAGTTTCATTAGACATTTCCATGGGTAACTTATGAAACTCATTACGCACCGTATTGCTGCGATATAAAAAGCCCTCAAATAAAGTGCTGTCATCAATATCCATCTTTAAATCCACAAAGCCATTCATAACAAATACACCCCTTTGTACTCGTACAATTTCAAAATTTAAAGCACAAATATCAGGATTACTACTTTCAGAGCTAACATCCAGCAATTCTAAGGAAAAATTTCTTTTCTCTGCCCCAATCACAGTTGTATTTAACAACAGATAAAGTAGAACTAATTTACTTGGTAATTGCGCTTTTAAAATTTTACATTTACTTTTCATTATTTTAAAATTTGACCGTCCTTTTAAAAGATTTTAAACACAATAGCTTTGTTATTTGTTGTAAATTTTTAAATGTATTTATATAGCTGAACTACGTTATCATTTGTAAATTGGATTTGTTTAAAAGTGATTGACATTAACATATATTTTTTTGTCAAATTGCAACTAATTACCAGATTTTTAATGATTACAATTAATTCTTATCATTATTAGTATTTCCTCAAAATCCAAATAATCATAGGACTAGTTTTGTGCAAAAATATTCTAAGTCGATAATAGTTATTTGCTATTATTAGGTCAGAATGTGCGAGAAGTTCAATACTTAGGCAGTTTAAAGGCTTCATGAATAACATTTCATTTTATCAACGGTTTATAAATCTAATTTTGTATGGAGATTTTTATACCCTTCACCTCGGTGAGAAGGGTATGTATAAGTCTGTAATAGCGGAGTCGATTAAGCAATGTCCGTCTGTCTGTCCGTATGTTTGCTATAATCTTAAGGTTTACAAGGTGTTTAAGTTGTAACTAACTAACTAACTAACTAACTAACTAACTACTAACTAACTAACTAACTAACTAACTAACTAACTAACTAACTAACTAACTAACTAACTAACTAACTAACTAACTAACTAACTAACTAACTAACTAACTAACTAACTAACTAACTAACTAACTAACTAACTAACTAACTAACTACTAACTAACTAACTAACTAACTAACTAACTAACTAACTAACTAACTAACTAACTAACTAACTAACTAACTAACTAACTAACTAACTAACTAACTAACTAACTAACTAACTAACTAACTAACTAACTAACTAACTAACTAACTAACTAACTAACTAACTAACTAACTAACTACTAACTAACTAACTAACTAACTAACTAACTAACTAACTAACTAACTAACTAACTAACTAACTAACTACTAACTAACTAACTAACTAACTAACTAACTAACTAACTACTAACTAACTAACTAACTAACTAACTAACTAACTAACTAACTAACTAACTAACTAACTAACTAACTAACTAACTAACTAACTAACTAACTAACTAACTAACTACTAACTAACTAACTAACTACTAACTAACTAACTAACTAACTAACTAACTAACTAACTAACTAACTAACTAACTAACTAACTAACTAACTAACTAACTAACTAACTAACTAACTAACTAACTAACTAACTAACTAACTAACTAACTAACTAACTAACTAACTAACTAACTAACTAACTAACTAACTAACTAACTAACTAACTACTAACTAACTAACTAACTAACTAACTAACTAACTAACTAACTAACTAACTAACTAACTAACTACTAACTAACTAACTAACTAACTAACTAACTAACTAACTAACTAACTAACTAACTAACTAACTAACTAACTAACTAACTAACTAACTAACTAACTAACTAACTAACTAACTAACTAACTAACTAACTAACTAACTAACTAACTAACTAACTAACTAACTAACTAACTAACTAACTAACTAACTAACTAACTAACTAACTAACTAACTAACTAACTAACTAACTAACTAACTAACTAACTAACTAACTACTAACTAACTAACTAACTAACTACTAACTAACTAACTAACTAACTAACTAACTAACTAACTAACTAACTAACTAACTAACTAACTAACTAACTAACTAACTAACTAACTAACTAACTAACTAACTAACTAACTAACTAACTAACTAACTAACTAACTAACTAACTACTAACTAACTAACTAACTAACTAACTAACTAACTAACTAACTACTAACTAACTAACTAACTAACTAACTAACTAACTAACTAACTAACTAACTAACTAACTAACTAACTAACTAACTAACTAACTAACTAACTAACTAACTAACTAACTAACTACTAACTAACTAACTAACTAACTAACTAACTAACTAACTAACTAACTAACTAACTAACTAACTAACTAACTAACTAACTAACTAACTAACTAACTAACTAACTAACTAACTAACTAACTAACTAACTACTAACTAACTAACTAACTAACTAACTAACTAACTAACTAACTAACTAACTAACTAACTAACTAACTAACTAACTAACTAACTAACTAACTAACTAACTAACTACTAACTAACTAACTAACTAACTAACTAACTAACTAACTAACTAACTAACTAACTAACTAACTAACTAACTAACTAACTAACTAACTAACTAACTAACTAACTAACTAACTAACTAACTAACTAACTAACTACTAACTAACTAACTAACTAACTAACTAACTAACTAACTAACTAACTAACTAACTAACTAACTAACTAACTAACTAACTAACTAACTAACTAACTAACTAACTAACACTAACTAACTAACTAACTAACTAACTAACTAACTAACTAACTAACTAACTAACTAACTACTAACTAACTAACTACTACTACTAACTAACTAACTAACTAACTAACTAACTAACTAACTAACTAACTAACTAACTAACTAACTAACTAACTAACTAACTAACTAACTAACTAACTATCTAACTAACTGACTAACTTTCCTGCGTGAATATTACTTCAGCAATTTATAGACGAAAAAGAACTTTTCTGGTAGAGGCATTATATGGCGGCTATGAGCAAATATGGACCGGTCCTGATATATATCATGATTAGATTTATATTTATATTATACTTATTTGTGCTGAATTTCATCTCAATTTATTGTTTTTAGATGAATTTTATACATTCAAATAATTTTTGTAAGGGGACCTTTTATATGGGGCTAGGATCGATCTAGGTTAGAAGTCCGATCTTTATGATATTTGTCAAGGCCCTTTTCGGAGGTTTCTGGGATATGAGGCCTAGGTGAAATAACGGATAATTAAACTGTTTCAATAGGTTTCGTGCTTGAGCCTAAAAATAACATATGTGTCAAATTTCATCTAATTATTTTGAAAATTCCGACCTGTACTTTGCGCACAAGCTTTATATGTTCAGCCTGTCAGACGTACATGGCTTCAGCGAAGATTCTAAGCCGACTGGTATACTTTAAGGTATACCAACGAATATATTACCACTGCAGTGATGTTAGATATAAATAATAATATAGAAGTTATAGTGCAGAGCATTAATAACCCACTACCGGCGGCAAGTGTCTACTACTCCTGTTAGACACCAATCATTAGAATATAATAAATGAACATTTCTATTACGATTTAAATCACGAAAAGTTGGAAAAACCCGTTTTTAAACAGATATTTTTGGGGGAAAAAACGTAGTTGTTTATTCAATCACTAAGTATTTTCAACAGTTCTCCAATATTATATGACTGCTTAAGTGAAGTTTTTGCTGCGTAGTATAATAAATAATGTTGCATGAGTGTTTAAGAAATGTTAATATTATTATTGTAATATTATTTGTTGTACTTTTAAATCGTGTATAAAATAAACAAATTATAATTATTTTAATTAATATCTGATTTGTATTACATGAAATGTTTATATTATTGTTGCACGTCTGTCTCGAGGGGAAATTGGAACTCAAAATTGCCAGAAATTTTCCAATGTTCCCAATATGTATTCAGTTGCTCAAATGTAATAATTTCACATTCATATATAGTTATTTTGGAACTAGTGTTGTTGTAAAAAGTTCTGATTTTAATGACTTCTGATTTTGAATATTTTGCAGAGCACTTTAGGGATTAATGGTTCATTAGTTAGCTTTAACATTTAGCTTTTAGAAATTTCTTAATATTTTCCAATCAGAGAAGATATAAGAAAAAACTTTGGAAATTGAAAAAGTTAATGAAAGACCCATATATTATGTATTTGACAATTTAGGTATTTGTGTTCATTATTAACATAACATACAATGTTGATTAAATCAAATACATGTAGAGTAAATTTATATTATTTTATATAAAATATTCTGCTCAATTCGAGAAAAAATGGCTAACAATTTCTCAGCGTGAATACTAGGAAGCCATTTGGTGCACTATAACACTTCCAACATTATCCCTTCGTTATTTGAGCAAGTTTTTTTTTTTCGCAAAATTAAAAAAGAGTTTCATTAAATAACATTTCGTATTATAGATGAAATTTTCGAAAATATTACGAAAAAGTTAATTACGAAATTCTCAGCTGTCAAAAGCTTAAACTCTAACTCAAGTTATACGATTACGTTAAAATTTTGAACTGGAATAAGGCAGATAATTTCTTAACAAAGTATATATAAAAAATACAATTTAATTTCCGGTAGTCAAACCATACATATTATCTCTACTACAACATGCTAAAAGTTGAAGTTAAAATATTTTTATTTTTATTAATCCTTTATCAATCTGCAAATATAATTAACACCCAGGTAGGTTTTTAAGCAATAAATATCCTGAAAAATAAATAACACACTTTTTCATACTTTCTTCCGCCTAAGAAAACCTGGACCTATGAACTACTTGAACTTGATTTTAAAACTAGCGACAAGGATTTCATTGATGCCGAACTAGAAGTTTTACGTATAGCACGCGGTGTTTTTGGCATTAATGGTTTTATCGATATTAAAAAGCCCATAGATAATTCGTTTAGCATGGAAGTGATTTTCTTTCGTGATAAATACTGTCAGGAAAATTATGAAAAACAACTTTATTCGGTGGGCAAACAACCGTTCGCCGATGGCATGAATAAATTCTACAGAAGAATTTTAATGGACAGTTTAAGAAATTGTACAACCGATGCACCCATATTTGATAAATTCGAACCACCTCTAACGAAACGTTTAATTATTTTCGATAAATGTCAAATCTCAACGGATAATTTACCCTCACATGTGGATGATGGTTGTTATTTAGTGAATCTAAATGTTTACGGAGAAGTTGAAGTTAATTTTTCCGGAAAACTAGCTGTAGAAAGAGTTATTGGTTTTAATATTTTAATCGTTTTGAATTTTATGAGAAAATTATTTGTTTGGCATTGTTACAGGAAATATTGGAATAAAAAAATTTTAATTTAAAAGCTACTCAATATGGAATTTCTATAATGGAACTTAAACATTCCGAGTTTTTATAAAAATTTTTCAAACATTTTGAATCATATCCCATTAAAACTTTTTTTATTATATGTCATTCCATCTGTAATATATACAATTTCATTTTCCCATCTTATATTCTTCAACTAGAACTGAACTAGAACTGAACTAGAACTGAACTAGAACTGAACTAGAACTAGAACTAAACTAGAACTGAACTAGAACTGAACTAGAACTGTACTAGAACTGAACTAGAACTGAACTAGAACTGAACTAGAACTGAACTAGAACTGAACTAGAACTAGAACTGAACTAGAACTGAACTAGAACTGAACTAGAACTGAACTAGAACTGAACTAGAACTGAACTAGAACTGAACTAGAACTGAACTAGAACTGAAGTAGAACTGAAGTAGAACTGAAGTAGAACTGAAGTAGAACTGAAGTAGAACTGAAGTAGAACTGAACTAGAACTGAACTAGAACTGAACTAGATCTGAACTAGAACTGAACTAGAACTGAACTAGAACTGAACTAGAACTGAACTAGAACTGAACTAGAACTGAACTAGAACTGAACTAGAACTGAACTAGAACTGAACTAGAACTGAACTAGAACTGAACTAGAACTGAACTAGAACTGAACTAGAACTGAACTAGAACTGAACTAGAACTGAACTAGAACTGAACTAGAACTGAACTAGAACTGAACTAGAACTGAACTAGAACTGAACTAGAACTGAACTAGAACTGAACTAGAACTGAACTAGAACTGAACTAGAACTGAACTAGAACTGAACTAACTGAACTGAACTAAACTAGAACTGAACTAGAACTGAACTAGAACTGAACTAGAACTGAACTAGAACTGAACTAGAACTGAACTAGAACTGAACTAGAACTGATTTAGAACTGAACTAGAACTGAACTAGAACTGAACTAGAACTGAACTAGAACTGAACTAGAACTGAAGTAGAACTGAAGTAGAACTGAAGTAGAACTGAAGTAGAACTGAAGTAGAACTGAACTAGAACTGAACTAGAACTGAACTAGAACTGAACTAGAACTGAACTAGATCTGAACTAGAACTGAACTAGAACTGAACTAGAACTGAACTAGAACTGAACTAGAACTGAACTAGAACTGAACTAGAACTGAACTAGAACTGAACTAGAACTGAACTAGAACTGAACTAGAACTGAACTAGAACTGAACTAGAACTGAAGTAGAACTGAACGAACTGAACTAGAACTGAACTAGAACTGAACTAGGACTGAACTAGAACTGAACTAGAACTGTACTAGAACTGAACTAGAACTGAACTAGAACTGAACTAGAACTGAACTAGAACTGAACTAGAACTGAACTAGAACTGAAACTAGAACCTAGAACTGACTAGAACTGAACTAGAACTGAACTAGAACTGAACTAGAACTGAACTAGAACTGAACTAGAACTGAACTAGAACTGAACTAGAACTGAACTAGAACTGAACTAGAACTGAAGTAGAACTGAACTAGAACTGAAGTAGAACTGAACTAGAACTGAACTAGAACTGAACTAGAACTGAACTGGAACTGAACTAGAACTGAACTAGAACTGAACTAGAACTGAACTAGAACTGAACTAGAACAAGAAATTTATTCGAATTTTCTTTAAAAGTTGTTCCGAACTTGCTAAAAACTTTTTGCTTAAATTTTTAAAATGGTTAAAAGCTTAAACGAAAAATCACCGTAATTTTAAAATCAAAATTAATGAGATCTCTAAAGCTCATTAATAAAGCTGCACACAATTATGGTCCCAAATTTACAAAAATATCGCTTTACTCCCTCCTAACCAAACAACTCTAATACATAGTTATTAAAAGTTGCATTGAAATACAGCATTGAATTAATCAAATACATGAAATGTAATCAATGTAATTAATGCATAATAAATACAACAATAACTTTAATATTTAACAAAAAATCATATAAAAACCAAATAAATTATAACTTATTTTGTAATTTATAATTTTTACTTCATACAACGCAAAATGGGTTCCTTTAGTAATTTTAAAATATTTCTAATTTTAATCCTTTGCATGGCACTGCATATAATAAACTGTCAGGTTTGTAGTATTATTAAAGAAAACATTACTTTTAATTTGAATAATTTGATCCTTTTCTTAGAAAACCTGGACCTACGATTTAACCAATATCGAATTTAAAACAAGCGATGTGGATTTTATAAATGGAGAACTAGAAATTGTTCGTATAGCTCGCGGCAACTATGGGATCAGTGGTAATATCGATGTTAAACAACCTTTGAATGCCAGTTTTAGTATAGAAGCTACTTTCTATCGTGATAAATATTGTGATGGAAACTACGAAATCCAACCGTATTCTGTAAGCAACACGGATTTACGAATGCCATGAATAACCTTTATAAGGATTATATAATGGACAGCTTGAAAGATTGCTGCGAAAATGCTCCGATGTTTGAGACATTCGAACCACCTCTAACGAAACGTTTTATTGTTTTGGATAAATGTCAAATATCAACGGATAATTTTCCATCACACATAGATGATGGCTGTTATATGGTGTTAATTAATCTGCATGGTCAGGTGGAGGCATCGATTGGATTGTTTGGGATAGTTGAAAATCAGGATTTGTAGGAATGGCGAATATTTGGTTAATAAAAAAACTCCATAAAAACTTCTTTAAATAGAAAGGAAATTTAATGTTAAAGGAATATTTCTACAAATTTTTCTATAAAAAAGCTAAAATATTTAACAAAATAAAACATTTTTAAACTGAACTAGAATTGAACTAAAACTGAACTAGAACTGAACTAGAACTGAACTAGAACTGAACTAGAACTGAACTAGAACTGAACTAGAACTGAACTAGAACTGAACTAGATCTGAACTAGAACTGAACTAGAACTGAACTAGAACTGAACTAGAACTGAACTAGAACTGAACTAGAACTGAACTAAAACTGAACTAAAACTGAATTAGAACTGAACTAGAACTGAAATAGAACTGAAATAGAACTGAACTAGAACTGAATTAGAACTGAACTAGAACTGAACTAGAACTGAACTAGAACTGAACTAGAACTAGAACTGAACTAGAACTGAACTAGAACTGAACTAGAACTGAACTAGAACTGAACTAGAACTGAACTAGAACTGAACTAGAACTGAACTAGAACTGAACTAGAACTGAACTAGAACTGAACTGAACTAGAACTGAACTAGAACTGAACTAGAACTGAACTAGAACTGAACTAGAACTGAACTAGAACTGAACTAGAACTGAACTGAACTAGAACTGAACTAGAACTAGAACTGAACTAGAACGGAACTAGAACTAGAACTGAACTAGAACTGAACTAGAACTGAACTAGAACTGAACTAGAACTAGAACTGAACTAGAACTGAACTAGAACTGAACTAGAACTGAACTAGAACTGAACTAGAACTGAACTAGAACTGAACTAGAACTGAACTAGAACTGAACTAGAACTGAACTAGAACTGAACTAGAACTGAACTAGAACTGAACTAGAACTGAACTAGAACTGAAGCTAGAACTGAACTAGAACTGAACTAGAACTGAACTAGAACTGAACTAGAACTAGAACTAGAACTGAACTAGAACTGAACTAGAACTGAACTAGAACTGAACTAGAACTTTTTTTTTTTTTTGAACTAGAAATTGAACTAGAACTGAACTAGAACTGAACTAGAACTAAACTAGAACTAAACTAGAACTGAACTAGAACTGAACTAGAACTTTTTTTTTTTGAACTAGAACTGAACTAGAACTGAACTAGAACTAAACTAGAACTGAACTAAAACTGAACTAGAACTGAACTAGAACTGAACTAGAACTGAACTAGAACTGAACTAGAACTGAACTAGAACTGAACTAGAACTGAACTAGAACTGAACTAGAACTGAACTAGAACTGAACTAGAACTGAACTAGAACTGAACTAGAACTGAACTAGAACTGAACTAGAACTGAACTAGAACTGAACTAGAACTGAACTAGAACTGAACTAGAACTGACTAGAACTGAACTAGAACTGAACTAGAACTGAACTAGAACTGAACTGAACTGACTAGAACTGAACTAGAACTGAACTAGAACTGAACTAGAACTGAACTAGAACTGAACTAGAACTGAACTAGAACTGAACTAGAACTGAACTAGAACTGAACTAGAACTGAACTAGAACTGAACTAGAACTAGAACTGAACTAGAACTGAACTAGAACTGAACTAGAACTGAACTAGAACTGAACTAGAACTGAACTAGAACGACTAGAACTGAACTAGAACTGAACTAGAACTGAGAACTGAACTAGAACTGAACTGAACTAGAACTGAACTAGAACTAGAACTGAACTAGAACTGAACTAGAACTATAACTGAACTAAACTGAACTAGAACTGAACTAGAACTGAACTAGAACTGAACTAGAACTGAACTAGAACTGAACTAGAACTGAACTAGAACTGAACTAGAACTGAACTAGAACTGAACTAGAACTGAACTAGAACTGAACTAGAACTGAACTAGAACTAGAACTGAACTAGAACTGAACTAGAACTGAACTAGAACTGAACTAGAACTGAACTAGAACTGAACTAGAACTGAACTAGAACTGAACTAGAACTGAACTAGAACTGAACTAGAATTGAACTAGAACTGAACTAGAACTGAACTAGAACTGAACTAGAACTGAACTAGAACTGAACTAGAACTAGAACTGAACTAGAACTGAACTAGAACTGAACTAGAACTGAACTAGAACTGAACTAGAACTTTTTTTTTTTTGAACTAGAACTGAACTAGAACTGAACTAGAACTGAACTAGAACTAAACTAGAACTAAACTAGAACTGAACTAGAACTGAACTAGAACTTTTTTTTTTGAACTAGAACTGAACTAGAACTGAACTAGAACTAAACTAGAACTGAACTAAAACTGAACTAGAACT